AGGAATTGGGTCCAGGAAGGCTTTCCTTTGCATATATTGATTTTATCTTAAATGAGATTGGATGCTCACTGAAGTCAGAGACTTTGCAGGATGGACAGCCAGATATGTGTTGAATGCAGTTAATTATTACAGCTTTTACCTGTGTAATTCTGTCTCATCTGAACCCACTTGGGACTAAGGCCATTGCTTCTGGGGCTCTTCTGGGGCTTCCTTATATCCAGAAAAGCTATTGAGATTTTACAACTTGATAGTTTTTCTCTCTCTAGCTCTCATATTCTTCCAAGGAGGGATTGTTCTAGAGTCGTTGGTGGACATAATTTATGTGGAGACAGATGATGGGTTTATTAGGGTATGGGCTGAAAGGCTCCTGAGTTGGAGCAGGCCTTTTTTCCAATGTGTAATCAACACATAAATGAAGTTAACCCTTAGAATTCATAAGGCTTCCTGACTGCCTTACAAGCAGAGTATTATGAACACAACTAAACCTTTCAATCGTTGTTTGTAGCCTTCAACAATCAAGAGAAATGCAGCCACATTTTGGTCATTTGTTAGAAACTGTTTGAGTAGGTGTGTGCTGACTAAATCTACCACTCTGGGTAAGATCAGATCGATGACTCCAAAACATACCAGGAAGATGAGAGCCTTGAAAAAATCACCTCTAAAAATAAACTTGATAAAACTCTCATTTTGTACAGTGAGGCAAACTTTTCCATGGAGCATACAATAGATTAATTTTTTAAGTCATTAACTTATGTTTATTCTTATTGTATTTTCCCCTTTATTATTTTAAGAAGATAGGCTTTTATGTTCTCCTACCTCAGGAGCTCAAGGCTGCAGGAGAGAGGTCAGAGTTGCCCAAAGACAACTCTCCCTCAAGACATTGGAAATTACTCTTTCTGAAGCCCCCTTGTTTGAGGAGATTGGGCTTGGTCAGTCCAAAGCAGCGGTTCTCAACCTTCCTAATGCCGCGACCCTTTAATACAGTTCCTCATGTTGTGGTAACCCCCAACCAAAAAATTATTTTCGTNTTGCTACTGTTATGAATCGTAATGTAAATATCTTTTTGTTTTCCGATGGTCTTAGGCGACCCCTGTGAAAGGGTCATTCGACCCCCAAAGGGGTCGCGACCCACAGGTTGAGAACCACTGCCCTATGGTCTCAGGCCAAAGCAAGGGAAGATACTCATGCTGGTTCCCCCTTTTCCTATTTTCCCCACATCTCTCCTACTTTATTTCCTATTTGGTGAGCCCTTGATCATCCAACACCCTCTTCTGCCTCCAGGCAACAGATACTCCATTCCTTAGGTTTTTTTTTTCCGCTTGGGAGAAGGCATTGGGACAGTGTCTGGTGTTGAACCTCACACAGACCTGAGTTTAAAATCTGGCTCTGCCAACTTTTTGGCACCATATCTTACGTAGGAGGGGTCAGTAAATTGTCCACTGACCAGAACTCTCAAATTGCCTCCTCCATGGCAAGGATTTTTAGTCTTGAACAAACACCGGTGAAAATTGAAGGCTGGCTAGGGAGAGAGGGCAGAAGGCACTGGAGAACTGATGGGTTCACATTACTCTCTGTAACACGTCCTGATCCTGGTCGTCTCTTGGGTCCACCAGTTCTCAGATCTTACCGGGCATCAGAATCACTTAGAGAGCTTGTTGAAACACAGATTGCTGCTTCCTTCCTCCACCTAAAGTTTCGAATTTGGGGTCGGTGGGCTAGAAGGTTCCAGGCAATGCTGATGCTGCTGGTCCAGGAACACACTTCGAGAACCACTGACCTAGTCAGTTTCACACTGAAGCCGAGGTGATGTGTTTAAAGCTCGGCTTTTATGAGTTCACTTTTCTGTTTAAAACTCTTCAGTAGCTCCTTGTAAGATATATTTTCAAGTGTCAACAGTCAGAGTAAAATGATTAAGCTTTCTCTGTTCAGTGAAGAGGAGGGAGGCCACTGCCTCCCCACCTTGTCCTCTTAGGGTGTCTCCTTGAGATATAAAAGCCCAATAGAAAGCCAGTCTTTTGATCTTGTAATGCAAGGTCTCTGGCCTTTGGGTCCTTGGATTTGTAGACACCTCCAGAAGGAGCTCCGGGGTCTCTAAGTTTTTAGGGGACAATTGCGAGGTATGTGTATTTACCTTGCAAGGAGATAAAAGAAGTTGCAATTGTTCTGTCTTCCATTTTATTGTATGCATTTGTGTGACTGTCTGTCTAGACTTGGTAGACACTCTCATCCTACCTGTATATGTGTGTAAATCTGTAATGTTTACTCCCTAAAAAACTGTGTTCTCTCTTCATGCTTTGGTACCAAGGGGTGTTTTATTGGCAGGATTGTTTTATTTCCTTAACACAACCCTACCCACTTTACACTTCTCTGAGAACCATGCTGCCAGCCTAGGCTGATGCAATTAGATTCTCCCAGGAATTTGGGTTCCAGACCGAGAGACATGGTCCACAGAGAGAGAGAGAGAGGGAAACAGTGAGACAAACACACAGAAGCAGAGGCACCGATCCTGAGGCCTTTACATCTGGGGTCCATTCCAGCTGCTGTCCTGGCCTTGGATTCTGCTAGCTACTGCATGTCCTGTCCAAATCCCCTTTATTGCTTAAGAAAATTGGCCTTGGATTTCTGTTAATTGCAACCAAAATAACCTGCACTGAGATACCGCCTGTTGCCTTCATGATGAAGTCCAGATTTCTGGACACAGTAACAAAGATCTTTACTATCTGGTGCCTGCTTACCCCTCCATCTCTTATCTCAACCCATTCACCTACTCTATAATTCAGTCATAAATATGACTCTTTCTACACTTTAGGACTTGGGCTTGCTGTTTTCTTTATACTTGTAACTCTTTTCTCAATCCCTATTTGGCCTTCAGATATCAGTGTAGATGTCTCACTTCCTCCAGGAAGCCTTCTCAGATACATGGCTTCTTCTCCGTGTTCTTGGAGTACCTTTACTTTAGCTCCTGAGTCCTAGCACATAAGATATCATAATTGCCCAGTGGCTTGTCTTTCTTCCTCCCCAGATTTTGAGCTCTGTGAGGGCAAAGGCTGATTCTCCGTGGTGTATCTGGGTGTCTAACACAGTACCTTGTACTTGGCTGGCACTTAATAAATGCTTGTCAATTGAATAAATGATGTGCTCCCTTTACCCCCACTCACCTACCCCAGTGTCAGATTGACAACAGGGAGTAGAAAAAAATGAAACTTACTTTGGCCTCAGGCTATAGACTATAATTTGGAAATACTCCTGAGGTAAAGAATCAGATATTGCCATGGTTTGGGAATGAATACCCTATTACCTTAATTGTATCTTTTCCCTCCGTTTTTTAATGATTGTGCCAGAGTTTCTAATTAGAGAAAAAGCCTCATGGACTTATTGATTTAAATGCGCTGCATCACTAGGGAGATTTTGAGAATAAGGTTAAAATTTAGCATATCAGAAATTCAATCCATTTGAGATCTCTCAAAGGTTTGTCCTTGGGTTCATTTAGCACAGACTTTCATAGTTACTGAAAACTGTTGTCATGGTAATCATGGAACCTTTCATGATTTCTGTATATGAGTTAATGAAGATACTGGAAACAGCCCAGAGGAATTCGTACTTGGGTGTGCATTTGTCTCCATATTAACCCAATCATTGTTTTGAACATACATCTGCCTCTGGGCCGATTCTCTTGGCTCTCGGTCCTGACAGGAATAAATAAACAACTGATTCCTTTTTAGTATTTCAGGCTAGGAGGCTGTGGATGGCTGCCCTTTTGGTCTCATTTCAACAGGAAACCCCACATGGAAGGTTTAAAGGAGCAGAAGAGAAAAAGAATGGTGTGTGAAGCAAACCTCTTTTTTACTTCAAATGATTAACGTTGCTGATTTCAAGGCACCTACATATAATGCCTATGAAGAAGTTTCAGTTGTGGAGAGCACAGGACGCTGACTATACCTAAAGCCTTTCTTTTAAGGTCCTTTCTAAATATACCTTCAGTCAAGCCTCCATCAAGTCTACAAATTTAGATCCAGACACTTCAGTGCACTCACAACATTTGAGTGTGAGATTTCCTGTCTACCTCCTGTCCTGCCAGTTATTTATTTCCCAACACCAAGACTCCCTTCTTCCCTCGTAATAGAACCTCTTTCTTTTAGCTGGGCATGTGGATGCCTGAAATCACGACATTTGCCATTCCCCCTTTATGGTGGCCAATGGTACTTCAGTAGAAGTGGTGCACGTGACTTTCGGACTTATCTTTCAAGGGAGTGGGCAGGTGCCCTTCCTTATCCCTGCCTCCTGGCTGAAATGTGAACATGATGGATGGAGCTGAGGGAGCCATTTTAGACAATGAGTTGGGACCACATTGAGAAAAGCGACGAGAAAAGAAAAATGATGAGATGGGGGAGCCCGGGTCCCTGAAGGCCGTGAACCTTCCACCGAAGCCCAGACTGACAGATGTTTACAGGAGAGAGAAGGAAACTTCTGTCTTTTTAAAACAGCTGTTATTTCAGATTTTCATCTTAACTGATATTACACCCCCAAATGAAATTTTTCCTTTTTCCGCTGCTTGGATGTGAACCCTCACGGGCTTTTCTGTGAGGTTTACTGCCTGATCCCAGGGCCTGCTGGAAGGTGAGCAGACGTGCTGGACCTTGGCGTTTGCCAGACTGAATTTTTTGGAATGGGGAATTGAGATATCATTTCTAATGGCAGAAAAATACCTGCTCCAGCTAAGCCATAGAGACAGAGTGTTGCCTGGTCTTTGTATGTGTATTTTGAATTTTTCTAGTGTGGTAGAACCACATATCTTTCACCCTAAAATCAGGACTCCCACCTCAAATGCTTTTTGGAATGGGGTAGATGATAAATAAGAATCATTGCTAATTAGTCTGAGTGCAAATTAATTGAGATAAGAAACAAAAACATAAACAACCTTCCAAGTTATCTAAAGTATAACAATCCCCCACATGGGAGACAGGAGCCTTCTGTCAGTGAGAAATTATACTTTTACTTACTGAATTTAGGCCTTTTAATCTTCTTTGTCGTTTCTTTATTTGAATGTATTCCAGTCACCAGCAAAACTACAGAAGAAAATGCAAAACAAAAAAACAAAAAATAACTAATCAATATTATTTCACCTAAACACTTTCTCTCGTTTGACTCATATTTGCTTCAATCACTCATTAAAATATTCTCACTGGTGAAACTAATTTTTCCTTATCGTAGAAAATAAGATGCATCATTGGTACACTCTTCTTAGCCTCTGTTGAAAGGGACTTCCAGAAATACCTTTTGGATAACTGTCCGTTGTTTTGCTGTCTTTAAATTTCAACACACCCATCCTACCATCTCTGTATTCCAAAGGAGGGAAGGTGATTTACGTGTTTCTAGCAGTGAGTAGTAGAGGCAGGATGAGCCCCCGGACCTTTCTTGTGTTCTTTCCTCTGTGCCACACTGAGTTTCCTAATGGCCAGGGCACTGCATGTGCTTGTGGGCGTGTGCGTCTGTGTGCGTGTGCGTGCATGTGCATGTAAGTGCAACAGAGGGAGGGCTGCATGGAGGCGATGTGTGAAAAGCACCAGAGGAGGGCTGTCTGGGAAAGGAAGACAAGGAGAAAGGGGACTGGCGGGTAGAGAGAGACTGTCACAGGGTCTGAGGTGTGACCTGAGTGTCCCCTAGCAGCACCTAGGTGGTCCATCTAGCAGCACCTGGTTTTGTGCCCCACAGAGGCTGGCTGCAGGTAGCTTAGCTTCCTCCTCAGAAACAGGAGCAGCACCTCAAGCAGCATTTGGCTACTGCCCTCCTTCAAGAGGGGCAACAATAAGGAGATAAGGGGGCCTCTTTATCCTTTTCAAGTCACATTGTGTTTGTAAAAATAACATTGACTGTTTTTTTTACTATTACCAAAATTCTACATGTTCCTTGTAGAAAAAATGTAAAAAACACAAAAAAAGTACAGAAAATGTGGATGAACAAAAAAGTATATTTTCAGCCTTTTTCTATATGTATAACTGTTAGGTACCTATATGACTACTTTTAAACAAACATTTGATCATACTCATACTGTGTACAATGTTTTATAACTTATTTCTACTTAGGGATATCTACAAACATTTTTTCCCATTAAATGTTACTCTCACAATAATTTTAATTGCCTGCAAAGTGTTGCACTATATACATGTATAATAATTTAGCCAATATCCAGCTTAACATAAATAGCTCCATCTTTGCAATGATCCATTATCTTTTCCTTAAAATAAATCTCCAAATAGGATTTCTTATCTGAAAGCTATTACCCACTTAAAATGTTGATATATATTGTGAAAATTTTTCATAGCAATTTTTTGTTGTTGTTGTTAGCAATGTCTGAAAATGCTCACTTCTCTGTACCTATACTAATTCTACCAGTAGACAGAAAAGCAATGTTTTTCTTTTCAAAGAGCTAGTCAATTCTCTATTCTTCTTCTTTTCTCTCCAGGCATTCTTCCACCTTATCCACCCAAAACTGGTACTGCTTTAACTTACCTCCATTTTAGCCACTTTTCTGAGAAACCCACATTCTTGATGGGGTTGGGACTCTGGAAGTGGACATGTGGCAATAGAGCAATCAAAAAAGGCATTTCACTCCTTTGTTTATGCATTTGTTTTTAAACAGAACACAGAAGCTCAATTTAGCCATAAATGGACTTAGGAACCCTTGAATTAGAAACTATCTTTAAAATAAAAAATGGCAATGTCACCAAGTGTTTGTTATGAAAACTTTTTTTCTTATGATTCTCTAGCTAATCTGCGCCAATGATGCAGCTACAGCTACTGACTTATCCCCAATTTTGACTACTCGCATTAGTTGAGGCCTGGACAGTTGACATACCGTGTCTTATAAGAACAGAAACATGAAAGAGAACTGAGCGAGAACCAAAAATCTAGCCAAGGAGAATGAAGGCAGACTTTTTTAGGTGTTATTTACTTCTGGGGTTTGGGTGGGTGTGAGTGTCCTGGAGGTCTAATTTATATAGTAGTCTCTGTGTCATTTAACTCTGTGCAAAGTCCACATTTTCATTTTATGCACAAACATAAACAACATAGAACCCAAGAATGTATTTTTTAAAACAAGTACTAAATAAACATATAGAAAAAAAATTGTACAAGCTAAGTAGACAGAGTAAGTGAAATAGTGATAAATTTGGGTATCTCTTTTTGTGGAAAACCAAATCCTGTCCTGGGCCTGCATGTCTGTGACAAGTGGTTTATGCATCTCGGTATCATTAGGACTATAAATATTTCAGTGAGACCACCCCATCACTAGCGTTTGCTCACCCAAGGCCCTGTGGGCTGAAAACAGGCATAGCTGGTTCAGTTTTACAGCAGTGGTTAATAGTCATTATTTTCAATGGTATACAGAGCCCTGCCCTCAGCTTAGATGCTTGTTAATTAAAGCTCCCCTAGGATCACTCCTAAGGGGATGGCTGGCCAATAAGGCTGAAAAAGTGCTTCTGCCCTGGAGCCAGTTCCATTCCTCATCAGCAAGACTCGTCTTGCTATATTGGAAATGGTGAATTGCATGTTAAACTTGGGTGAGAGAAAAATCAGTTCTGTGTGTCTTTCCTTAAGAAGACAGAGCATTGAGATGGCTGATGCTCATTTCAAAGTACGAAGTGGAACACAGGTGTGAAAGCCAGTGCCTTCTGGGGGAATAATTATCTGGCTACTGGGGCCATTAGTGTCTAGAAGTCTTGAGGAGATTATATCTAGAGGCCAAAGCTCCAATGCAAGCATGATTTCCAACTCTGCAGCAATGCTTCTCAGTGTTTAAGAATTCAGTGTTCCGGTTTTGAATAATGTGCAAAGTTCTCACCTTTCACTAGTAGTGCTTAAAATTTCAAAACAAATTAAATATCGAAATTATCTTTTCCAATGGAAAAACTTCCCCTCGCTTCTCTCTCTCTTTCTCTCTAGTGAGGCCATCAGTACAGCCAAGATAGCTGAGGTATAATTGTTTTCAAGTTCAAGTTAAATAAATTGTCACTCAGATGAGTCATAGACAGAGAACATGCCAATTTAGAAATAATGAAATATTGGAAATATTCCAACAATAGGGAATCTTAAGCATTTATTACAAATATGTAGAAGGGTCCTAAGTGATATGGGATGTGCTCAGTTCTAAACTTAAGAATGGTTCTGCCAGCTAGAATATATGTAGAGAGAAATTACTGGAACAAATATATCAAATGTTAATAATGGTGAAATTATAATTTCTATTGTATATTTTTGTATTTTTCCCATTTATAGTATATTTCTCATATATGTTCCATAGTTGATATAGAATGTTTCTTTTACGATTAGAAAAAGCCAACATAATTACTTTTAATTGGATCATATTGTAATCATATTAGACTTACAATAATGAAAAGTGCTTTCTAAAATCATTGGCATGGTTAATATGAATTTGTGTTCCAGTTTTCCTGTTAATAATGAGTTATAATCAGACCATTTACTTTCAAGAAAAGACATCAAATGCCAGAACATCTAATCAATGATCAAATCAGTAAATACTTACTGAATGCTTATGATGTGTCTGGAACTTTTATAGAAATACCTCATTCTAGTCCCTAGAATTCTTGTTAGATCCTTTCATAGCCCCTCTAGGTACTAACTCAGGTGGTGTTGACAAGCACCCTCTTCCTGACCAAACTTTAGTCAGGCTCCTGTAAGCCCTCTTTTCAATTAGGCTTTGACCTTGGGTTTCAGTGTCTATCCTTGTTGGACCTGCATTGCCCAGTTTTAGCAAAAATCTTGTTTAGAGAGAATCCCCACCCTTGATATTTAATCATCCCGGTCTGCTTTTAGCAAGAATCCTGTCAAGTTACTTCAGCAAGAATCCCCCCACCCTCGAGGCCTTGAGAAAATTATGTCTAGAGTCCAAAGTTCCAAGGCAATTATAATTTACCAACTCTGCAGCAATACTTGTCAATTTTTAAGAATTCAGTGTTCCAGTTTTGGATAACATACAAAGTTCTCACCTTTCACTAGTAGTGCTTGAAATTTCAGAACAAATTAAATATCGAAATGACGTTGTCCAATAAAAACACTTCCCCCCACTTCTCTCTCTTTCTCCCTAGTGTGGCCATTGGTACAGATAAGATAGAATCCTATCAAGTTGCTTCAGCAAGAATCACCCTACCCTCTTAGAAACTTCTGTCCCCTGACCCTGCAACCTCCTCCTTGGCTGTAAATGCCCACTTTCCTTGTTGTATTTGGAATTGAGCCCATTTCTATACTGAGGTCTCTTTTTCCCGATTGCAATAGTTCCTGATGGAAATCTCTTTTTACCACTTTAACCATTGTCCAGCCCTGGTTGTCCACATGGCTTCCTGAAAACTGATTTATAAAGCAGATCATTTTAAAGCAGTTCAAATTTTCCCCATGCTTTAAAAAATTTGGGATTACATGCTTAGTGAAATGTCAAGCATCAAATAAATCAGTTTCATAGCAAAGACAGGACAACATTCTCTATAACTACATAAATCATAAAAATTATGTTTCAAATCAGAGACTATAGAAGCTGGGAGGAGCTTTGGAGGTCATTCCTTTATTTTCTAGAAAAGAGGGGCCAGCCGAGTGGCTCAATTGGTTAAGAGCTCACTCAAGAGTGCGAGCTCTGAACAACAGGGGTTCGATTCCCAGCCAGAGCTGAGCTGCCACTGAACTGCCAACAGGTGGCAGGATGGCTCAGCTAAAAAGAAAAAAAAAGAAAAGAAACCAAGGTCAAGGTTTACACGTTGGCTAATGGTGTAGTTCTTTGGGAGAATTTGGAAATAGAAGACAGGTTTGCTGGCCATAGCCTTTTCCTCTTTCATTCTACTTGCTCCCCAAGAGTACAGCCATTGATTATATATGGTGTTCCAATGATAGCGGGCAGCCTAAAACTCTGCTATGTTATAAATTTAAACATATCTAAACAAACATGCTAGCTCTGCTATAAGTTCATTAAACACTTAATTATCATTACCTTGGGAGGGCTTTGGGGGGATCGTTGGATGGCTCTGTGTGATATTGTGGTTTTTATAAATACATACTTTGGTCTTCTGGCCACAGTTCTGGCCATAATTTTGACTCACAGTCCCCAAAGCCCTTGGAATTTCCTGAGCAATAACAGCAATAGGAGCATCTTTTGTTATAATACTTGGTTTCTTGTCCTCAGTTCCTGAAATCGCTTCAGAGCCATAAAAGTGAAACGGGTGTCGTGTTATTCTTAGGCCTCTTTCCACCACGCCTCAGTTTTTGTTAATGAGATGACTTTTGGGAATCCTCTAAAGATGAAGGAGCTGGTTGCCAGGGGAACCAACCATGAATAGAGGGTTGGAAATTTCAGTCCCATTCCTTGATTTCCCAAGAGGGGAAAGGGGCTGGAGGTTGAATCAATCACCAATGGCCAATGAGTTAATCAATCATGCCTATGTAACGAAGCCACCAAAAAGAAACAAAAAAAGACAGGCTTCAGCAAGCTTCCAGGTTAGGGAACCAGGATGCTTCTGTGGACTGCCAGGCCCTGAACTTCAGGAGTACAGAAGCTCCTTTGTATCTTTCATCTGGCTGTTGATTCATATTCTTTAATATTCTTTGTAATAAATCAGCTACCTGGTAAGTAAATAGGTCTCCTGAGTTCTGTGAGCCACTCTAGCAAATTAATTGAACCCAAAAAGGGGGTCGTGAGAACCTCTGATTTATAGCCAGTCGGTCAGAAGCACAGGTGACAACCTGGACTTACTATTGGCGTCTGAATATGGGGGTAGTCTTGAGGGACTGAGCGCTTAACCTGGAATCTGATTCTATTTCCAGGTAGTGTCAGAATTGAGTTGAATTTTAGGACACCCAGCTGGTATTCAGGAATTGCTCGGTGTGGGGAAAAAAACCACACACTGGAGTTGGGTGGTGTTGTATATTGGCTTGATAGGATTCCAAATCCACTTAGTATTTATGATTTAAGTTGTTTAATCCGTTTTTTTATGGCAAAGACAAAAAAAGAGATTGTTTATATAAGTAAAGTTGTTTTGATGTAAGAATGAAGTAAATTGTGTTAGGATGTCATCATCTTATCTGTTGTCACAGCAGCCCAGCTGCTGAGAGGCCCTGCTGGGGGCTTCTGGGTAAGAACATGTGGAGAAGCAACTATGGCAAGGGGACATTTAGGCTATAAACATTGAGCGTTTGTAAGGACTACTTGAGAGTTTTCGGTCTGGACAAAGAGCCTTTGCTGACCTAAATAGCTTTTCGAAGACCCTTGGGGGCAGTAGTTCCTGTATTGGACAGGTGACTCCTCGTAGACAGTGGCAAAAGACACACAGTGGCCCCACAAAGATCATCCTACCCTCCAACACCAGCACTGCCATCCCCTAGAAACGTGCTGTAGCAACAAGTGACTTTCATTTTTGCACTGGCAGCTCTAAGTCAGCTGGCAGTTGGTGAAGCCGTCTCGTCCGAGCACCTACTCATATAAAAAGGTGCACCTCATCTAAATTTGGACTTTATTCCTTTTATCTCTCCTTGCCTAGAACAATTGTATAATTAATCTATCATTGCTTTGGAGTATGTTATTTCTTTATTGGCTTATTAAGAGACATTATCCTGTATGCTATTGGCTTGTGAATTTCCCACAGTGAACCTGGCCAAGACAAACTCAATCTCTGAGCATAAATTGCTGCCCAAACAGAACAGGTGCAGAATTGGACTCTATAACCTTAAAAATTCAGCATCCCTAAGGAGAAAAATTTATTTAGCAGTACTTCTTGAGTGCCTATGAGATGTGCTGAGCACTGGAAATGAGCAAAACTGCGTTTGGGGGAATCCAGACAAATGGCGAAGTGAATGTCATGCAGCTATGATGGGATTCTATAGGGGGTGCCAAGGAAACACATAGAAATATGGTTTGATTCAAAGGGGAGGAGGGAGATGGAAACTTCCTGAGGACCAATAAGGTTTGTGGGGCTTTGGGGTGAGAGGAAAAGCATTAGAGGAAGGGGAATAGAATGGTCAAAGGCTTGGAGGTGAGCAGTGATGTGACCTTCAGGGGAACAGAGGGTCGGCACTTCCCAGGTGGGCACTGTGGTAGAGAGGAGAGCAGCTGAGGATTGTAAGAGCCATTATCAGGCAGGGATGCGGTTCCATGGGCAAGACAAAGGGAAAACACTGAGGAGGTTAAATCCAGACAGTGGTGAGGAGAAGTGGGCTTTAGGGAGGTTAATCAGGTGTGGTACAGAGTGAGGTAGAGGGGTAAGGATTTGGGGCAGGGAGGTTGTCACGGTACTGAGGAAGGGTGATGAGGGACTTAAGGGCATGGCCTTGGGATGGAGACAAGCAGACAAAGGAGGGAGATGCTAGGAGGGCAGACACGTGAGGATGTGAGGATGTTGAGAGGGAAATGTGTGATAGGAGTTTCCTTTTCCTGCTTTGACTTCTTGCTTTCTGAATGAGCAATCCAAAGGGGAAAAGAGTTTTGCAGAAGGGCAGGCTCAGGAAGGCGGGGATAAGAAAGGAAGGTCAAGCCTCCCTTTGTGGTTCTGCGAAGCCAGGGACTTGGCAGAGTGTGAAACGGCCTCAGGTTTTGTTTTCTTTGTTTCACAGTAGCAAAATCCTTCCTCTTCCAAACTCTCCTATATTGCCCTATGTTAGAAACCTAGTAACCTATACGTTCGTATGGGACAGGGAGACAGCCTCTGAAAATGGCAAGGTGGAAATGAAGGACCCTGTGCTTCCAAGCTGAATCTTCCTTAGTAAGTTGGTAGTGAGTGGAGTCAAGACCAGAACCCACATCCTCCCTCTGACTCCCCAGTCCAGTGTTCCTTCCGCCATGCCGAGGGCCCCCTTGTCTTTCTAGTTGTGTCACCTCTTCCTCTTCCAGTCCCCAGCTCTATCATGTAGACTCTCTCTGCACAGACCTTGAACATTCTGACTATATTATGAGTTGAATTGTGTACTCCCAATTCATATGTTGAAGTCCTAACCCTCAATACCTCAGCATGTGACCTTATTTGGAAATAGGGTCATTACAGATATACTCAAGTTAGGACCTAGTCATTGTGGAGTATGTTGTGCCCCTAATCCAATATGATGGACTGGTGTCATTATAAAAAGGAGAAATTTGGACACACCACACACACACACACACACACACACACACACACACACACACACGCACGCACACCCAAGAACCGAATGCCATGTGAAGATGAAGGCAGAGATGGGGGTGATACCAAGGAATGTTGAAGATTGCCAACAAATACCAGAAGCTAGGAGAAAGGCACAGAACAGACTTCACCCTCACAGCCCTCTGAAGGAATCAGCCCTGCTTTCCAAAAAGTACCTCGATTTTGTACTTCTTGCCGACAGAATTGTGAAAGAATAAGGTTCTGCTGTTCTAAGCCACCCAGTTTGTGGTATGTGGTTATGGTAGCCCTCGCACACTGATACGGATTGTCTGCAATGCTTTCCTGGTCATAGTTTCACAATGACCCCCAGGGTCACTCCGCTTGCCAAGGCCACAACACAATGGGGCCAAGATGAACAGATTCCCCTCGGGCTTAGTGCTAAACCTGTCAGCACTTTCCCCTCTTCTTGTTGACCTGCTGCTTCTTGAAGGACTACCTGGAATTCTCTGGTAATAATGGATACATTTAAAAGGTTTCATTTCTAAAGGTGTGAGTTGCCAATGGTACAAGTAAGGCCTTGTCGGTGATATATATATATATATATATATATATATATATATATTTTGAGAGACGAAGAACCAAGAAGATCCCTAAATTCAGAATCTATAAATATGCTGTATCTGAAACATTTGTTAGTTGCTAAAGAATACATACAGATATGTGTGTATATATGTGTGTCTAATATGTAATATAGAGAGACACACCAATGTAATGGAATACTTGCTGTATATTATATAAATACACACACACACATCAAGAATTTGATCTACACTTAACATTCTCACTTAAACATCTCTCCAAATGTTAATCATAAAAAGATACACTGAGCTGTTTATATGCTGTGTTTAAACCTTTTCTTGGCAGGTTTCTTTGGACCATAGGAGAATGTTAACAGTGTATCCAGATACACATATAAAAGTACTTACCAAGGAACATTTCAATAACAGATGCCTTCATAGTGAGGACAACAATTCCCATAAATATCAAAATGGCGCCCTGGGGAGGAAGAAACAAAAACATCATCATATTTCAGCCACGGGTTCTTTCTGAATTGGATGCTCGGAGTGGGGGGTGGGGCTGCTTCATGCTGCATTGCCCTCTGGAGTCAGGATTTAAGCTGCGAGCTCATGGAGATGGCAGGGGCCTACATGCTTGAACCCAGAGAGTCCATTCTCAGTTAGAGAACCCAGTCTAGCCACCAGCCTCTTGTTCTTCAGAGATTTGGTCTTTACTTAGAACTAAAGAGGAAATAACTTGTCAACTTCAAGAATATGTTCAACCAGTCTCAAATTATGACAAAAGCCACACTTACAATATCGAAAGAGCATTTTTAGATTACAAATAATTTGCTCATCATTCATCCAATACATATTTATTAAACTCCTATGATAGTGCTAAGCACTGTTAGGTAGAAGGTGATAAAAATGGAATTAAAAAATATTCTTGCTCTTAAAAGGCATATAGTTTAATAGAAGTGGGAGAACATATGTGGACACAAATCACCATAATATTAGAGAATGTGCAGGCCCCACAAGGAGTCTAAGGGGAGTTTATAGGACAGTGATTCTCAGACTTTGCTGCATATTCATATAATCTGGGAGTTTTAGAAGACCCTGATGCTCAGTTTGCACCTCAGACCAACTGAATCAGAATCTCTTGGGTGTTGGGTCCAGGCATTAAGCTTTAAAAAATCTCCCCAGTTTGAGAAGCAGCAGTGTAGAGCAAAGCTTCCAAAATCTTATTGTGCATATGAATCACCTGGGAATCTTGTTAAAATGCAGATTCTAATCCAGTAGGTCTGGGGTAGTGCCAGAGATTCCCCAAGAGGCCAGGGAACTTTAGAGGAAGGGAAGATATGGCAGCTGTGGGAATAAGAGAAAGCCTCACAGAGGTAGCAGCAATTGGGTCAATTTTGAAAGATGAGCCGAGTTTGCCTAGGGGGAAATAGGGTAGAAGTGGCCCAAGGGGCAGAACAGCATCGACAGAGGCTCAGAGGTTGGAAAGTACAGTGGATACGAAGATGCTGTTGGCTTACAGGGGGTTTCCCCACTTCTTGGAAGGCTATGCAGAAACCTGCCAAAGTTTATTCAAGCCACCATTAACTGAACGTATACTGTAGCTCTCTATATTGTCTCAAATCCTCACAGTAAGCCAGGATGGTAGATTTTATGATTCTCCAATGAGCAGACAAGGAAAGAGTAAAATGTCATACCCGTGATGACCAGGAAGTGAGTAGGATTAGAGTGGAGGTGGGAGTAGGTGGAAAGGGTGTTCCCCGGACACCAGCAATAATGGAAAACATCGTAGGAAGTAGAGAAAGTCAGTCTGCTTTTTATGATCCTTATAAGCCAGCAATTCTAACCAATATCAATGATAAAGCACTCTTCTTTTCTGGGGCACATGGCTTCCATTACATGCTCTCCCCCCAGGGTCCCTGCTGTGTGGCCTAAAACTGGCATTCACAGCCCTACACTCCTCTATGCTGAGTACCATGCCAGTAAACCTGCTCCCTGAAAAAAAAAAGCCGACTCACAGTGTTTGTTGATTCCTGTGGTGTAAATCCTCTCACAATGGCTGATTTTAAAGCCACCAAAGTGATGTCACTGAATAGAGATTTGGAAAGGGACAAACACAACCTGGTATTAACTTGGTCCAGGGTAACCTTATGTCCAATATTTAGATCCAGTCCTATGCAGAATTTCTTAACAAAAAAACAACTGTTAGATGATAGTTGAGGTAGTAATACAAATACCTGATGCAATTAACTTAAATAAAACTGTTTAGTATATGAAAGGTTTTGTTACAAGCAATGAAATTAGGCAGCAAGGGTAACCCCGAATGGAACCGATCACTTTGCTAATTTCCAGCAATAATTGCAATGTGTTAAATTTCCCAGTTAAGGTAGTTGACCCCTGGTTAAGTCATAGGCAAAGAATGGTCTTTAGCCTCAAAGTAGAAACGAAATACATACAATCTATTTGGCCATTGGATACTTAAATGGCTGGGTCATATTTTGAAAATAGTGTGGTAGCAAGTACAATTTTTTTTTTTTTTACCAACTTGAGATACTCCAGAACAACTAACACATTTTCAGGCCTAAAAATGTAACTTTCCTGTGGGATAAACGCGTCATGTCGAGCTGCCCGTCTGGACCCACCTAACCAGCCCCATTCGGCACTGCAGCTTTCCTCTATGAGCCATCCTTGACTTCTCTTTCTCCCATACCCCACATCTTTTCTCTAAGCCAGGCCTCTACAGTCTTCTTAATATATCCAGCATCTGACCATTCCTCACCATCTGGACCAGTGCCACTTGGTCCAGGCCACACCTGCTCGCTCCTGTATTATGGCAATTAGCTTCTTAACCAGGCTGTCCCCTTCTTCCCCTGCACTCTACAGTCTAAACAGCAGCCAGCCCAATCCTGTTCAAAGTACGTCAGTTCATGGCATTCTTCTGGTCAAACCTTAGCAGTGGTTCCCCGCTTTACTTAGAATGAACGCTAAGTCTATACAAGTGGCTAAGACCCTACATGGATTGGCCCCTCTGACCCTATTTCCAGCTATTCACCCCCTCACTTACTAAGCTCCAGGCACACCAGCCTCCTGGTTGTTTCTGGAACACACCTCTCACCTCAAGGTCTCTGCACTTACTATGTATACTCTCTTTGGGTGCTCTTCCCCCAGGAAAAAACATGACTTACTTCCTTGTTCTTTCAAGTCTTTGCTTAAATGTTATCTTCTCTTGAGACTTACCCTAATCATCCAATTTAAAATTGTAATCCTGCTCCTCCCCACCACCAAGTGGTACACCCTATCCTTGTTCTACTATCTTTTTTTCCCATGTCACTTATCACCTCTGACGTATTCTATGCTTTGCTTATTTGATTTATTATTGTTGGTGTTCTCTACCGGAATGCAAACTCCATGAGGGCAGGGGTTTTTGTATAATTTTTCTTGTTTTATGTGCTCAGTAAATATATGCTGAATCAATGAGTGAGGAATTAGGACACTTTCCTTTCCCTAGGAAATAATAATAATAATAAAAGAAACAAAACAAAGGGAAGACAATCTTATGAATGAACACTAAAAACTACTGAATTATACATTCTCAAAGGTGTATTTAATAGTATGTGAATCACATTTCCATACATTTTATTGATAGTCCAACAAACACAAAGAAAAGATGGATTGCAGAGAGAAGTGCTCTCAGATCTGTCCTACAACTTTAGAAGACACAGTGGGCCTGACCTTTACATGCTGGGATGGGTGAATTAAAAAAACAAAACAAGGGCCGGCTGAGTGGCGCAATGGTTAAGAATTGGCTTGGGACACCAGAGGGCCCCGGTTCGGATCCCACATATGAGGGCCAGTGACACTGCCCTCCACAGCTAAGATGCTGAAAAACAGCTCAACCTGGAGCTGGGCTGCCGTGAGTCGCCAGCAATGGTGTAGGCTGCAGCCCCTGTGGCAGTGGGTTGCCATGGGCTACCGTATGTAGCCAGCAGCCAGCATGAGAGGCCAGCAGCCGCCGTGAGCGGCCGTCCAGAGGCCGGCAACTGATCTGCCTCACCTGGGAAGAGCACAATGATGGTGCCAACTTGGGCCAGTGAAGCAACATCCTCCACAGCTAGACTGAAGAACAAAAGGACAGCAACTTGTCTGTTCCCCTTCCCCCAATTCCCCAGTGCTGTTCCCATCCCCCAATTCCCCAATAAAAAAAATCTTTAAAAAAAACAAAAACAAAAAAAACCAAAACAAAACAAAAAAACAACCACGATTCCAGGAAGCATGTGGTCCCCAGAGGAGGTGTCACCCCAGTGCTGACTCATCAGTAATGGAACCTGACCAGAATCATTCTGGTCTCTTGGAATCAGGATGTTTGAGGCTTCTTCTTACCACTTCCATTTCCCTCCTTGCTCAGTTCATTTACTCACACACTTAAAATGTAAATGTGCCTTTTGAAATGTGTGAAAAAAAATTCAAACTCTTTTTAAGCTATTCAAGAAGCTGGGGATGAGGACAGCCACCAGCCATGTTAAGCACTTCCCACAGGTGATCCAGTGTCACAGAAGGGTGGGGTACACAGTGTGTAATGCTGGAACCTTAATTTCTCATGTGCTCACCAGGTTTCTAACAAAAATGGAACAGTGGGGGTTTGCAAAAGAATGTATCACTGGTTCATAAATTTATGGATTGTGCCATGAGATGTAATATAGAGTCCTGAATATGAAGTTCTGGTGAAACAAATGAAGCCTGATTGTGACATAAAAATATACATTAATGCAAGTAGAGTAGCCAGCCAATTTAATTAGATCTCTTATTGCCCAGAGATAGAAAAGAGTAAGGTGGTAATAAGTAATAGTATCACCTTATATTTTTATGGTTTTTCCCTCCAATTTTTTTATTGTGGCAAAATACACAAACATAAAATTTACTATCTTAACCACTTTTAAATATTAACCATTTCTTAGTGTACAGTTCAGCAGTATTAAGTACATTTATAATGTGCGATCATTACCACCATTCATCTCCAGAACTCTTTTTGTCTTGTAAAACTGAAACTCTATGCCCATTAAACAATAAGTCTTCATTTTCCCCTTTCCCACAGTCCCTGGCAACCACCATTCTGCTTTCTGTCTCTATGATTCTGACTACTCTAAGTACTTCATCTAAATGGAATCATATAGTACTTATCTTTTTGTGCCTAGCCTATTTCAAGTAGCGTAATGTTCTCAGGTTTCATCCATGTTATAGTGTATGTCAAAATTTCTTTTCTTTTAAGGCTTAATAATATTCCATTATATGTATATACCCCATTTTGCTTGTCCATTCATCAGTTGATGGACACTTGGGTTGCTTCCACTTTTTAGTTATTGTGAATAATGCTGCTGTGAACACGAGTGTACAAACATCTTGTTGAGACCCTGCTTTTACTTCTTTTGTGTACATACCCAGAAGTAATATTGCTAGAACAAATGGTAATTCTGTTTGTTTGTTTTTTTGAGGAAACTCCATACTGTTTTCCAGAGTGGCTGTAGCATTTTACATTCCCATTAACAGTGCACAAGTGTTCCAATGTCTCCACATCCTTGCCACCACTTATTTTCTCTTTCTTCTGATAATAATCATCCTATTGCGTATGAGATGGCATCTCATTGTGGTTTTGATTTGCATTTCCCTAGTGATTTGTGATGCTGAGCATCTTTTCATGTATTTTGGGCCATTTCTATATCTTCTTTGAAGAAATGTCTATTCAAGTACTATGCTCAGTTTTTAATCAGGTTGTTTTTCTTGTTGTTGAATTTTAGTAGTTGTCTATACATTCTGGATATTAACCCTTGACCAGATATATAATTTGCAAATATTTTCTCCCATTCTATGAGTTGCCCTTTTTACTCTGTTGATAGGTTCTTTTGATGCGCAAAATTGTTTAAATTTTCGTGAAGTCCAATTTGTCTATTTTTTCTTTTGTTGTTTAAGCCTTTGGGTGTTATATCCAAGAAGTCGTTGCCAAATTCAATGTTTTGAAGCTTTTGTCCTATGTTGTCTTCTATGAATTTTATAGTTTTAGATCTTACATTTAGATCTTTGATTCATTTGAGTTAATTTTTGTATATGGTGTTAACTAAAGGTCCAATTTTGTTCTTTTGCATGTGGATATCCAATTTTGTCAGAACCATTTGTTGAAGAGACTGTCTTCTCCATTGAACGGTCTTTGCACCCTTGTCAAAAATCACTTGATCATATATGTGAGAGTTAATTTCTGGACTCTATTTTTTTCCATTGGTTTATATGTGTGTCCCTATACCAGCACCACACTGTTTTGATTACTGTAGTTTTGTAGTCAGTTTTAAAAATTAGGAACAGTCCTTCAGCTCTCCTCCTTTTTTTCAAGATTGTTTTGGCTATTTGGGTCCCTTGAGATTCCACAGAAATTTTTGGGATTTTCTATTTCTACAAAAAACATCATTGGGATTTTGATAGGTATTGCATTGAATTTGTAAATTGCTTTGGGTACTATTAATATCTTAACAATATTAAGTCTTCCAATAAATAACATAGGATATGCTTCTATTTATGTGTTCTGTAGTTTCTTTCAAGAATGTTTTGTAGTTTTCATTGTACAAGTCTTTCACCTCCGTGGTTAATTAATTCCTATGTATTTTATTCTTTTTGGTGTAAATGGACTTGTTTCCTTAATTTCCTTTTTCGATTGTTCACTGTTAGTATATAGAAATGCAACCAATTTTTGTATGTTGACTTTGCATCATGCTACTTTGCAGAATTCATTTATTATAAAAAATTTATTGTGTAGTCTTTAGGATTTTCTGCATATTAAGTCATATCATCTGCCACCAGGATAACTTTACTTCTTCCTTTTCAATTTGGGTGCCTTTATTTCTTTTTCTTGACTAATTCCTCTGGCTAGAACTTCCAATACTTTGTTGAATAGAAATGGTGAAAACAGGTATACATCTTTGCCTTGTTCCTGATCTTAGAGGAAAAGCTTTCAGTCTTTCACCATTGAGTGTGATGTTTGCTGTGAGTTTTTCATATATGGCTTTTATTATGTGGAGGTAGTTTCCTTCTATTCCTAGTTTGTGGATGTTTTTATCATGAAAAGGTGTTGAATTTTTTCAAATGCTTTTTGCATCAATTGAAATAATCTTGTGGATTTTTCCCCCTTTCATTTATTATCATG